ATTAGTATCTTCTTTATTACTATTTATTAGAAATAATAAGAAAATTCTAGTTATATTAATAAAATTCAGCTTTTTATAAAATTATTATTCTTATAATAAAAAATATATATAAAAATATATAATTACCGCTCTATTTTAGCTGTATATCTTAATTATATTATAAAATACTAGAAAAATTATATATTAATTATTAACTAGAATATTAAAAATAAATATACTACTTCTATTCTATTATTTCTTCTGGATCAGGCTATTCTTAGATTTATAAATAAAATATAGCTTAAAGAGCTATTAATAAAATTAGAAACTAATAAATAGTTAAGAAAATTACAGATAATTAAATTATTAAAGTAGAATAAATTAAACAGATTAAATAGATTAAATAAATTAAATAGATTAAATAAATAAAATAAATAAACAGAGTATACTAGATCTATATTATAATATTATAGCTTTTATAAAAGATTCTATAAAAATCTTTTATAAATCTTTTTTATAAATATCTATTTTTTATTCTAGTCTATTATATCTTAAGCAGTTTTATTTAAAAAAAGAGACTATTTTATAACTCTGGGCTTTAGATATAAATTTCTAATTATTAAATTTATTAAAATAAATAAAATACAGCAGGCGCCTCAGCTGTATATTAAAATATAATAGATTATATTTATATAAAGTTATATCTTAAAACAAAATAAACTATCTTTATAGAGTTTTTTATTTTTATTTTTTTATATCTATTATTTACAGAACAGCTTCAGAATTATAAATTAATTATAATTATCTAATTTATTTTTAAAAAATATTATTAAGTCTTCTTCTTCTATTTCTCAGATCTTTATAAATTATAATAATACTTAAACTAAGATAAGCTTCTTAAGTCAGATCTTTTCTTCTCTCTTAAATCTTAAGATTATATATATTACAAAGAATCAGAAGATTATTCTATATTCAGCTTTTATTAAAATATATAAAAAACTTAAGATATATCTAGATATTAAAGATATATAGTTTTTTAAAATATTTTTAATTAAACTAATATAATTTCAGATATTATAAAGTATACTAATATTCTTACTTACTAAAAATTTTATTATAATCAGTTTTCTATTCTCTATCAGATAGCTAGAGATTTTCTTTTAATTATAATTAATAATATTAATATTAAATATCTTTTTAATAATTCTTAAGATATCTATTATTATTACCAAAGCTGTCTTAATTCTGATATAATTAAAATAGTTATATTTTAAATATATATTAATTATTTTATTATAAATAAGAAATATTAGAATATACTTAATAATCTTAATCCAGATTTAATTATCTTTATATTCAAGAAGCAAAAGAAGAATAAGATAATTATTATCTTTTATATTAATAAGAATAAGAATATAAATAATCTTGAAAATAATTTAAAAAATAAATTATTATTAGAATTAGAAGAACTAGTCTTATCTAAATCTTTAATTATTATATATACTTAGATAGAGATAGAGATCCGGTCTTTATAATTTTTATACTATTATAATTACTATTTTAAATAATATAAAGAATAAATATTCTGTATCTTTTCTTATTTTTTTTATATTAGATTCTATAAAAACCTTTTTTAGAGTATAGTATATCTTTTAAAATAATTAATTAAGTAAATCAAGCAGTAGACTATATCTAAAGAATATTATTATATTTATACTATAATTAAATATATATTATACTTTATATATTATCTATATAAGAAAAATATATATATTATAAATTAATCTATAATTATTAATTTATCTGCTATATCTAATCTTTCTAATCAGCAGATATAAATAGTTATAGTAATAATTATATCTTAATCTAATCTTAACTATACAGTTAAAAATTTTTTATATCTTAATCTAACTATCAGATTATGGCCAGATTAAGGTTAAGATATAACAGTCAGGTTAAGCCACTCTAGTCTCTGATTATAGATCTAATAGTAGATTTAGTAAACAGAAATTTATATCTGAAGTCTAGAATTATAAAATAGTTTCTTTTTTTAAACAGAGCTGCTTAAAATATAATAAACTAGAATAGAAAATAGATATTTATAAAAAAGATCTATAAAAGATTTTTATAGAATCTTTTATAAAAGCTGTAATATTATAGTACAGATCTAGTATATTCTATTTATTTTATTTATTTATTTTATTTATTTAATCTGTTTAATTTGTTTGATCTGTTTGATTTGTTTAATCTGCTCTATTTTAATAATCTAATTATTTATAATCTTTTTAATTATCTGTCTGTTTCTGATTTTATTAATAGCTCTTCGAGTTATATCTTATTTATAAATCTAAGAATAGTCTAATTTAGAAGAAATAGTAGAATAGAAGTAGTATATTTATTCTTAATATTTTAATTAATAATTAATATATAATTTATCTAGTATTCTATAATATAATTAAGATATATAGCTAAAATAGAGTAATAATTATATATCTTTATATATATTTCTTGCTGTAAGAATAATAATTTTATAAAAAGCTGAATTTTATTAATATAATTAGAATTTTCTTATTATTTCTGATAAATAATAATAAAAAAGATACTAATTTTTTTCTTAGTTATATTTTTTTAATTTAAAAAGCTTTTTTTTATATATTTTTAGGCAACGGTGAAGATAGCCAGATTAATAATTATTTAATCTAAGTATATCTTAACTGTGCTAGAGCTTAAAAAGATATAATAAATAGATCTTAATATTAAGAATAATTAAGATAGTTAATTATCTGGTTTTTAGCTATATTATGATCAGGTATAAAAATTTTCTTAATCTGATTATAATCTGGCGGTTAGATATAAAAATTCTAATTAACCTGATCTGACCTGGCTGTTAGCCACTCTAAGTAGAATTAGTCTTATATTCTGTAGTTTAGACTAGGCCTGATATTATTAAATTATATTAGTTAATTTTAAAATATTTAATTAATTCAAGCTCTAAATATCTCAGAACTATGAATTATTTGATCTTCTATTTAGAAAAAACAAAGAACTTGGCTATTAAATTTAGCTCTAGCTCTATTTTATTTTATATAGCCAGTGATACTAGTTTTACTGATAATCAAGATTACACTAGTTTAATAAGATATATTATTTATTTATTTAATAGTCCTATTAATTAGCTAAGCAAGAAATAATATTATATAATTCTTTTAATTACTGAAGCTAAATTATTAGTTCTAACTACTATAGTTAAATAATTTCTTTAATAAAGAAGATTTTTTAAATAAATAGAGTTTAACTCTAATCAACACTTCTCTATATTATATAATAATTATTAAACAGTTAAAATTCTTACTAATAAGAATTTCCTTTTTTAAACTAGTCTGAAATATATTAATATTACTAATTATTAGCTAAGACAAGAAGCTCTGAATAAAATAATTAATATTTAATAGATATCTACTAATAAAATATAAGCAGATAGTCTGATTAAGCAGTTTCTTAATCAAAAATATACTTAATTTATTAAATAGTTAAATATAGTAATTTATTAAATTCTATTATTATTATTTTCTATTTTTAGCAATTTATTTACTTCAGTTTTTTCTGATATTTTATCTTATTAAAACTGCAGGGATATATTAATAATATAGACAGACTGGCTAGTTCGCTGCCTAAGACTCGCCAGTTCGCTGCCTAAGACATCAGTTTACAGTCTCAGGCTAGTTAACTATCTTAGACCATCAGTTGGCAGACTAATAATTCTAAGTTCTGTCTATCCCGCAGTGAAGTAAGAAATCTTACTTTTATTAATTATTCTAGTCTCTATTTAATTACTGATTCTATTATTCTCGGCCCTGTTCTATTTATATAATTTTTATATAATTTTTATATATTTTTATATGCTTTTGATAGCCAATTGGCTATAAATATAAATAAAAAGATCTCTTAATTTTTAATCAGTTTTTTTAATAAGTTTTAATCAAGTTGAATCAGCTTTTAGTCTCTTTCTTATTTATCTAATCTTTAATTCTTCTTATTACTTCTTTTATCTTTCTCTTATTTTTCTTTTATCTTTACCTCACTTTTATCTTACTTTTATACTTAATTTATATAAGAAAGTAAGAGTTTAGTAAAGTCTTTTTAAAAGATCAGAGAAAAGTTCTTATTTAATTATCTGATCTCTAATTCTTCTTATTTTTTTACTTCTCTTATCTTTCTCTCATTTTCATCTCACTTTTGCACCAAATTTGTATGAGAAAGTGAAAGTTTAATAAAGTCTTCTTAAGAAAAGTTCTTAAAAATTAACTATTTTTATAATAACAAAAAATTAATTATTCAGATTTCTGTAGAATTATACTATATAAATAGTTAGATATATTAAAAATAGACTTATATATAATATTATTAGTATAATTCTTTATAAAATTCTATATAATATTTAACTAGATATCTTCTATTAAAAATTTATTAATTATTAATATTAATATCTTATATCAGAGAAGACTTATAACAAACTAGACTCTAGAATAAATAAAGATTAATTCATTAATTATAATAAGAATCTATATAAGATTTATAACTTAAAATTAAAAAATTTATTATTATTAGAGATATATAAAAAGCCTATCTTTATATGATTATTTTTAAATATCAGATATAAGTTTAATAATACTTCTATTAATTCTTCAGCTGCTAATTAAAATATTAAAAAATATTAATATATCTTATCTAAATCTATTAATTTTTATAAATTTATTATTACTAATTCTTCTATCTAGTTCTAGATTATAAAATCACAGACTAAATTTAATTAATTAACTGCTAATAATTCTGTATAATTTAAAAAATATAAAATAAGTAATATATTATCTCTGATTATAATTTTAAATTTCTTTATTAATATATATATAAATAATTCAGTAATAAATTCTATATCAGAATCTTAAGTTATATTATCTTCTTTAATATTAATATTAGTAATTAAAGAATTACTAACTTTTAATAATAATAAAATTAATTTATTAGATATATTTCTTATTCACTCCCGTGGACCTGTGACCGTACCTTGCAGATAAGAACGACTTTTGCACTTCTGTAAGATACAAACTAGGTCCCACTAATTGTTTTACTGCTGTTAGTGCAGACCTTATACCATAGTCCATTGTGAGAGCAGTTTCTTCGGCCATCTCAACATATTGGCCAATTAACGCGATATTTCTTGTTTGTCGTGGAATGATTTCCGGCCGATCCCCACAATCTCGTCTCATCAGCGGTGAGAGACCAAGAGGCAGTATAATGGGTCTTGTCGTCGCATTGAGTAGTATATCGTCCCCCGGAATGTCGAGGTAGCCAAGTAATTCTGCTAGGACTTCATCACCGCTGCATGTGAACATGGGTTTTTTGACATAATGGCCAAGCCTATCAGGTGTGAAACAGTGGCCGATTATGGAACAGGTTCCTCTGACGCCATCGGTGAAGTGCAGCTGCCCCGGAAACGAAACTTGCAATGACCATGCGCTTTCACTAATGAATGCATTATCGTGGCCTCCAGCATAAGCCTCTATAGACCGCGCACGAATTTGGGTATATTGCCGTGAGGACAGATTCACAGTAAACATTCCAAGTCGAGACTCAGAGAGACGGGTGCAAAATGATGACGGGTTACCGAATCTTTGTGATTTTTTGGCCAAGGCAAACCACAGCCGCCAATTATTGTCGAGCAAGCTTTCGGCCTTACTCGGGGTTGCTGGTGGCGGGGCTGCCGTAGTTCCTGTTACCATACCTGATGTTGGAGATCCGATAGTCACAATCACGATGTCTTCAGTTGCCACCGGTAGAAGGATATTGCCAATCTTTTCGGATGCTTGTATGTAGCATACTGCGCTAGATTCACTTTTCAGTTCAAATATTATGTCTGTCACTCGAATGTCTCGGAATCGGACCCCTCGAGCACTCAAGTAGGGTTTGAGGTGGTTTGCAAAACTCTTGTCTAGCACAGGATGCAGGCGGTCGGTGACTCGGGATTCAACAATTTCGTCCATATATTTGCAGATATACCGATGAAATTCGAGGGCTGAGTGTGATGGATGGAGTCCAAAACTAGAATCATTAGCATCTTGTTACCAACCCTAATGCAGGCCAATTTCTTCCTTGTCCGGTAGCCCAATGCGGTACGTACCTCGATGAAAATAGCTTCCAGAAGCGCGTTTCAAATATCGAACTTTCGAAAACATCCTGGATACTAGTATTCGAGAAGTTTTCTTCTTCTTGAAGCAGGAAGTAAAGTATATCCCTGCGATTCTTCAGCCAGGCATGTTCTTGACTAGCAAAGTTTTGTGATTGCGACATAAAGATCTCTGTGTCATGTCGGGTAGAAGACAGGGGCCTCGTCTTCTTGCTGTGGGAAATCGCAGGCGCATAATTGCCATCAGTGACTAACGACTTGTAAAAGCTACAATTGCATATGTTCGAAGCTGAGGGTGCTGGATGCCTAGATGAGTGCCCATAGCTGAAACCTTCAAAGGGCTTTATTTGGGATTCTCCCTCAAGAACATGAATCTGCCAGCCTTGTACGTGTGCCTCGTGAATGAGGCAGGAGGCAGCGACTAGAGACTCAGTTCCGCCACCTATTAGCCACACTGTGGGCATTCGCCTATCATGAGATGCCATTATCGTCTCGCAACTAGGGTCGGTCGGAGGTTTCCCAATACCGTTGTTATTTCAAATAATTAGCTTGATCCTTAGGGAAGGGCGCTGTCGTATCCGTTGTTTGCCACTGTTCATTGTCCAAGGAGACTAGTGGAGTCTCGGGTTTATGTGGTAACAACAAATCGCATATGTTGAAGCACAACAACTTTAGCACGTCAATTGCCACGTTGGCCTAGGCCACTACGTCAGTTTTTGTATAGACACAGGCTGGATTTCTATCAGGCCATATCATTAGCACATTACTGGGCAAAAGCAAATGTTGCATCCGTCGTCGTTTGGGGTTTGGAAGCTCTTTGGTCCAGAACCGTGTCGTCGGTACAACTCCCCTCGAGTCAACGCGTAAGTTCTCGGATTGCTCAGCCACACTAGCTCTCGGCCGAATGCCATTGGAAGGGGCATGATTCCGGGCATGGTTGTCGTATGCTTGGAAGGAGCTTACTGACGCCTAGAAACTCACTGGAGATATAGTTTCGTATCGCACTGACGACCAATGCGGGGTAAGTCATATGATGCCCTCTCATGATACACCAGAAGACGACCTCGCCCTATTCATATGGCCAACAGGCACATGCTATAAAATTGTTTCATGCCTCCAATGCTGACGACGAATCTGCGCAGTCCAGGTTGATTTATGCCGCCATTACCTTCAGTTCAATATCAGCTGAAAGTTTCTCTTCAACCCGTGCTTTGACAAATAGTTTACTCTTCTCACAAGCCGCCTGTCATCCACAAGGATGTCTCTCATCCCACACCTTGATAAGAGCGGTCTGTCGACAGTGGGTCGGTTGGTTCACGACTATGACCGCATGCTCACCAGCTTCGGCAGCCCGCATAATCGGCCATACTTACCGCCCTTTGACATCTGTGAGACAGACGCAGCCTACTACCTCGAGGGCGAACTTCCCGGTATTGACTCAAATGATCTGGACATCGGTTTTGAAGGCGAGCACTGTCTAAAGATTCATGGTCATCACGATCGCGATACAACTACTGAAAAGAAATCGTGGTGGGTATCGGAGCGCTCGGTAGGGGATTTTCAACGGTCCTTTTACTTCCCAGCCTCTGTTGACCAGGCAAACACCGAGGCTCATCTTCAGAAAGGAATCCTGTCTATGACTGTGCCCAAATCTGCCGAGGCGCACCATAAGACGAAGGTGTCGGTCGTGTAAGGAAGACTGGGTTCGACGGCCCTGTCAGACTGTCCAAAAGTCTCTTCATGCATTATCTTACTTTTACTTGTACCAGATGTAGTGACATTAACTTAAAATCATGAAAATCAAAAACAAGACTGCACGCAGAGTTTCATTACTAGCATAAGATTTGTACCAAGTTCAAGAGTTCAATTCACAGTCGAGAATATACCGATTGCAGAGAGTTGTTTTTTCCGCAGGAGGCGCTAAGAACAGCAACGTGGCAATGATGATGAAATATACACTAGATATCGGCTGGGCCTGCAGTGTAGACACCCGAATGGCAGTAATTTACCAAGCATGACTTTCCAAGCGATCCCGTACTTGTATACAAGCCTGGGATGGTCGCAGTGTAGATTCGCCCACCAAAACCCAGTACATCAAATTTAAGTTTCTGACATGAGCAAACCAAAGGTCCGAATCCGGTCATTTATTCAGCAGTGCCTTACTGGTGGGAAGATAAGAGCAATAATTTCTCATCTCGGTTAAGTTAGATGTGAGCGTAGAATTCTTTCCCAACATTCTTCTGCCAGCTTTCGGACTTATCGGTTTGGCGGAAACGCATTCCGTTTGCCTTGCCTTTCTGATTTGCGGATGTCCAACCCGAATTCCAGGTTATTTTGAACCAAATCAGCATAATACAACTGAGAGGAGCATTCGTATAACATGTACCAGTGAAGAACAAGATATATTTCCCTGTATCGAATGTATAGGCCGTAGCAGTATTGTTCTAGGCACCGTAGAACGGTTCAAGATATTTGCATACAGCTTAAGGGATTTCTAGCGCTGTGACTTGCACTGATGATGATTTTGATCCCGGATTTAGGCTGGTCGTATTGTGCAGCTTCTGACAAATACTGTTATAGCGGTATCCAAGAATTGCCATAGAACAAGTAACCAGACCTTCTATAGTTCGGGTTGGGAGTATAATTTGTATAATAAAAATCTATATCTTGATAACATCTGGAATGCTGCCAATTTTGCCTCAAAGTTGCTTGTGTCTCTTTCAAGGAACAGTGTATATAGCCGCAACCTGATGAAAAATTGAAAGCAAGGACCGATGGATCTGTCATTCTACCTAGCACCATCACACACTGATGGCTTTCTGTGGCCCAGTCTCTTTGGAAAAGTAGGCATGGTTGTTGTTATAGCTGCATTGAGACAATTTATTGCCGTGTTAATGATAATACCAATGCTCTACCTCGTCTTCGAATCGGACGTGGCATTTCCTTCGCTATTTTAGTTTTGGCGCGAGCTCGGTATTATCTGTGCGGAAAACGATTGGCATTGCGGGAAACTATCATTTATGCGTCTGTGCCTTTTGCTTACATTAGAGAGTGGATGTATAGTTATATTCCGGAGACGGCCAATGAGAATTTTCCTTGTCATCGAGCCGTTGGTTATTAGAGGATACTCTGGGATTCCCCACATACTCGGTCTTTGCTTTTGAGAAGGCTTTGTGAGGGCTTGTGTGGAGAATGATTTATTCAGGGTTAGAGTGGGGCTTCTGCTAGAGTTATAATGAGCTGTTTAGCTAGCTGATATTGCTATCTTTGTCCCTGTACTAAGTGAGGACTTCATGGTTTGTTTATATAGGTATTTCTTTGAAATTTTGTTAGCTTTCTGATTATTTTTATATAATATAATAGAAATATCTTAATATATAGTATTCTTTCTAATTATATATAAGAAATATTTATATTAAATTACTTATTTAATTATTTTAATAATAGTAATGTATTCTGCTTTGATAGAGCTTTAAATAATAATAACTTATTTTTTATTAATTTAGCAGATAGATAAGTTATTAATCATTATTCTAATATATATTAAATTAATATATATAATAAAAATCTTCTTTTTATTTTTCTTGATAAGAAATATTATTTTATAGCTTTTTATGGCTTTAAGATATCTTAAAATCTATTTTATAATAAATAAATAAATCTAGCTTAAATTAGTCAGATACTGGACTAGTTAATTAACTAAGAATATAATATCTAATAATCTAATTATATTTTATATATTAAGAATATTAACTTTCTAATTATTATTTTAAATATTTTATAATGTTTTTTTCTTATATATAGACTATTAATATTAAATTAGATATTTAATTTTATTAATATATTAATAGACTTATAATCTATTATTCTAAATTTTTTAAGAATCTGTTTAATATAAATTTTTTAATTTATCTTGATTAATTTATTTTTTTTAAATAAATTTAATATCTAGAAGCTTTTAAATTAAGCTGAAATTAATTATTAAATAAAATTTCTTTTATTTTTCTTAATACTGTGAATTTCTGCTTTTTTATAATTAAAAATAAGAATATTATTAATACATAAAGTAATAATTATTTCTTATATATTAATAGAGTGGCTAACGGCCAGGTCAGGTCAGATTAATTGGAATTTTTATATCTAACCGCCAGGTTATAATCAGATTAAGAAAATTTTTATATCTGATTATAATATAGCTAAAAACCGGGCGGTTAATTATCTTAATTATTCTTAATATTAAGATCTATTCGCTATATTTTTTTAAGCTCTAGCACAGTTAAGATATATCTAGATTAAATAATTATTAATCTGGCCATTTTCACCGTCGCCTAAAAGTATATAAAAAGAAGCTTTTTAAATTAAAAAAATATAACTAAGAAAGAAATTAGTATCTTTTTTATTATTATTTATTAAAAATAATAAGAAAATTCTAGTTGTGTTAATAAAATTCAGCTTTTTATAAAATTATTATTTTTATAATAAAAAATATATATAAAGATATATAATTACCACTCTATTTTAGCTGTATATTTTAATTATATTATAGAATACTAGAAAAACTATATATTAATTATTAATTAAAATACTAAGAATAAATATACTGCTTTTATTCTATTATTTTTTTTAAATTAGACTATTCTCAGATTTATAAATAAAATATAGCTCGAAGAGCTATTAATAAAATCAGGAACTGACAGGCAGTTAAGAAAATTATAAATAGTCAGATTATTAAAATAGAGCAGGTCAAATAGATTAAACAAATTAAATAAATTAAATAAATTAAATAGATAGAACAGATAAATAGAATATATTAAATCTGTACTATAATACTACAGCTCTTATAAAAAATCTTATAAAAGTCTTTTATAAATCTTTTTTATAAATATCTATTTTCTATTCTAGTCTATTATATCTTAAGTAGCTTTATTTAAAAAAAAAGACTATTTTATAACTCTGGGCTCCAGATATAAATTTCTAATTATTAAATTTATTAAAATAAATAAAATACAGCGGATGCCTCAGCTGTATATTAAAATATAATAAATTATATTTATATAAAGTTATATCTTAAAATAAAATAAACTATCTTTGCAAAGTTTTTTACTTTTATTTTTTTATATTTATTATTTATAGAACAGCTTCAGAATTATAAATTAATTATAATTATTTAATTTATTTTTAAAGAATATTATTAAGTCTTTTTTTTCTGTTTCTCAGATCTTTATAAATTATAATAATATCTAAACTAAGATAAGCTTCTTAAGTCAGATCTTTTCTTCTTCTCTAAATCTTAAGATTATATATATCACAAAAAATCAGAAGATTATTCTATATCTAGTTTTTATTAAAATATACAAAGAACTTAAGATATATCTAGATATTAAAAATATATAGCTTCTTAAAATATTTTTAATTAAACTAATATAATTCTAGATATTACAGAATATATTAATATTCTTATTTACTAAAAGTCCTGCTGTAATTAGTTTTCTATTCTTTATTAAATAGCTAGAGATTTTTTCTTAATTATAATTAATAATATTAATATTAAATATTTTTTTAATAATTCTTAAGATATTTACTATTATCACCAAAGCTATCTTAATTCTAATATAATTAAAACAGTTATACTTTAAATATATATTAATTATTTTATTATAAGTAAGAAGTATCAGAATATATTTAATAATCTTAATTTAGATTTAATTATCTTTATATTTAAAAAATAAGAAAAGAATAAGATAATTACTATCTTTTATATTAATAAGAATAAGAATATAAATAATCTTAAAGATAATCTAGAGAATAAATTATTATCAGAATTAAAAAAACTAGTCTTATCTAAGTCTTTAATTATTATATATACTTAGATAGAGATAGAGATTTGGTCTTTATAATTTCTATACTATTATAATTACTATTCTGAATAATATAAAGAATAAATATTTTATATTTTTTCTTATTTTTTTTATACTAGATTTTATAAAAGTCTTTTTCAGAATATAATATATTTTTTAAAATAATTAATTAAACAGATTGAGCAGTAGATTATATCTAAAGAATATTATTATATCTATATTATAATTAAATATATATTATACTTTATATATTATCTATATAAGAAGAATATATATATTATAAATTAATCTGCGGTTATTAATCTATCTGCTATATCTAATCTTTCTAATTAATAAATATAAACAGTTATAATAATAGTTATATCTTAATCTGATCTTAATTATACAGTTAAAAATTTTTTATATCTTAATCTAACCGCCAGATTATGGCCAGGTTAAGGTTAAGATATAACAGTCAGGTTAAGCCACTCTATATATTAATAAAAATACTAGAATCAGTGATAGTTAATTTAAATCTAATATTTATAAAAAAATTAATAATCTTTTAATTTTATAGATTTATTAATTATCTAAATTTATATAAAGACTTTCTTAACTCTAATACTATATTTTTAATTACTTTATAATTAAATTCTTAAAATTCTTAAAATATTTTTATATAATTAGACTTATCTAGCTCTAAATTAATAAATATATTTTAATATATTTAGAAAATAGGCTTTATATTTTAGCTTTATTAATATTATTATAGTAATTCTAAGATTGTTCAGATAAAATATTAAAATAAATATTTTATTAAAATTATCTTTTAATTACTTGTTTTCTCTGACTATTAATCATATTTTGAATTAATTAATTATTTTATTAATATCAGTCCTAATATTAAAAATTTAGGATATAAAGAAGATAATTTCTTTTATTTCTTTTTTAAAAATAATTTTTTAAATTTTAAAATTAATTAATACAGTAAGTTCTTTTTATATAGTTTTAATTTATTTAGATTTATAGATTTAATTATTAACTATTTTATTATAT